AGAAAATAAAAAATATAATACAAATATCCTATGAAGTTCATTAACAATGGTAAAAGTAATAATAACAAAAGAATGAAATTAATGTGGGGTACAAAAAAGAGGCAAGTAATGTAGGAGAAAAAGAAAAAACATATAAAGAATATGACAAAAGGAATAGAGCAAGAAATCAAACTGTGATTATAAAATAAAGATAAAATACAATTAGGCAAAAGTAAGAAGACAAATTAATAAAAGTAAAGCAGAAATAACCCAGAGAATAACAGTAAAAAGAAGAAAAGATTTAAAAATACATTTGGCAACACTTCCCTTTGAGGCCTCTGATACTGAAATCTACCAGGAGTTGGGGGTAGGTTAGTGGGTCTGAGTTGGAGTTTATTATGTTCAGGGTTCTCATTATGCAGGCTGGTGCTGTATGGAGGCTGTGAGCTGGTTAGACCAAGGGCTTATTGTCAGCGTCAGAGCTGCATTCACTTCAGAAGCTTCCCTTAACTGTGTATGAAGAACCAGCTGACTCGAAGAACTTTGTGGTCCGTGGACTAGGAAGGTTCCCACTTGCCCCAGAGGCACAGTGGTTTGTATACCCTAAAAAGAGGCAATGTCCAAACCAAGAGGTGTCCCATGAATGCTTCAGAGTATACAAGAAGCAAAGTCCTGACTTCCACACTTAGGCACCAGGCATTCTGTCTGCCCCTCTCAGTACTTTTAGTTGCTACCCAGCAGTACACCGAGGGGAGAAGCAGAAATTAGTAATTTGTCAAACTTGGGCTCAGAATTCATAGTCCTGCTCACAGCAAACCACAGCAGGAATGCAGCTCTGGAAGGTGAAGTACTAGTCATGGGCATAGAGTTAATAGTTTCACAGTAATCCATAGGGAACAGGGTATGGAGTTAACAGTAACCCACGGGGCACAGGGTGTCTTACAGTTACTATTACTGGGATGAAACACCAGGATCAAAGAAACTTGGGGAGGAAAGGGTTTGTTGGGCGTATACTTCCACAACACTGTTCATCATCAAAGGTAGTCCAGACAGAAATTCAAGCAGGAAGCTGGTGGCATGAGCTGATGCAGAGGCCATGGAGGAGTGCTACTTACTGGCTTGCTCGGCATGGCTTGCTCAACCTGCTTTTTCATAAAACCCAGAACCAGCATTGAAAACATCCAGGGATGGAACCATCCACAATGAGCTAGGCCTTCCCCTACCCATTACTAATTAAGAAAATGCCTTATAACTTTATCTTATGGAAGGCATTTTTTTCTCAACTAGGGTTCCCTCCTTTCAGATAACTCTAGGGTTTGGTTTTGTCTGTCTGTTTGTTTGTTTTTAAATTTTTATTTATTTATAATTTATGCATGAGTGCTCTGCATGCATACTTGCATGCCAGAAGAGGGCATGCAATCCTATATAGATGGTTGTGAGCTACAATGTGGTTACTGAGAAATGAACTCAGTACCTCTAAAAGAGCAGCCAGTGAAATGGCTCAGTCAGAAAAGACACTTGTGGCAAAGCCAAACAACCTGAGTTCCATCCATGGGACCTACTTGGAGAAGAGAACTGACTTCTGTATATTGTCCTCTGAGACACACACACACACACACACACACACACACACACACACACACACACACACACACACAGAAATAAATAATGTAGTGAAAAAGAAATTATCTGAGGCCTAAGATGAATTATCTGTATTTCTTTTACCATGAAGGATGCCATTCCATTAATCTCAAACCACCTGAAACTTAACTCACCAACTAAAATAACAAAAAATACTGTGAAATGAGATTGCTAGTAACCTTTGGGCTGTAAGTTTTGTGCTATGCCAAGACGTCTTCTTCACAGTCCCCATCAGTAGACAAAAGGTTCATGATGGGAGATGTCATTCTGTAAATATGTTTCTCTTATTGGTTAATGAATAAAGCACTGTTGGCCAATAGGAAAGCAAGATAGCTGGGACTAGGAGACTAGGAGGAAAGAGGAAGTAGTTGGGAGGAGTTCCAAGATGGAACACGGAGAGATTAGAAGGCCAGCCCCTCTCTCCGATAAGATAAGACCACGCACAAATACTTACATTAATAAAAATGGGCTAATATTTAAGACAGAGCATTATATCAAATACAGAGTCTCTGTGTGTTATTTGGGACTGGCATGGCAGTAGTGTTATTTGGGGTTGGCAGAGAAAAAACTACTCCTAACAGGTCCTATTAGACCTCATACCTCAGCAGCCTAGACTATCCATTTTTCCATCTGCCCCCAGGTTGGAGCATACTCATAGGAACTCAGAAGTACAGATTTCTAGATTTTTTTTCTCTTGCTTTGGCATTACAGTTTGTTTGTTTGTTTGTTTTGTTTTGAAAAAAAAACCTCCATTCTCCATTAAGAATTGTTTTTGAGGGAGTTGCTGCAAATCTCTCCAAGACCAACATCATTATATACATGCAAGTAGTGATGTATTTTTAAAAGAATAACATATACAATAAACAGAGAACTGCAAAAGCCTGAGATGACCTGACAATCCCAGGAGTTCTTTATCTTTACTCACTTCCAGGACAAGAGATATTTTGAGAATAAATTTGAGCTATTACCTCTAAAGTTCTCAGAACTTCAGAAAAATGATCTGAACCAACTTTCTCAAAGCAGTAATAGAAAACGCTAGTGATTTGGTTTCTGCATTAAGAGAAGTCCTCAAAACTAATTCACCATTCTCAGGAGCCACCAGTCCCGTTCTTGTCACTGACAGGCTGCCTTCATATCCTTTTTAGGGTTTTGTTACTCCAGGCAGCTTTCCAAACATGAAGGAATGGTTATTTACAGTTCCTAGCCCTGAATCACATCGTTAGCTGAATTACACTGCCATGGTGGTGCAGCTTACAAAACACAGGTCTCTGTAAAGTGAGTGTGTCTTGGCCAGGTGAAATGGAATTTAGTCATAAAAGCAGCTGAAGGATCTGTCTGCATTTCATTTTACAGTGTTAGGTGGTCCTGCAGAGTGCACTCTAAGTACAGCATCACAGCAAGGTCCCCGACACAGACCATTTAGCCTGGGAGCCAGACAACATTTTTTTTCTACTTAAATTATATGAAACCAGTGGTATTCTGGTAAATTTCCCCATTGTGTATTAAATAATCTTATTTAGACATCTGTACTAAATACATTTTCAAATAGATTGTTAACTTTTTACTTAAGAATTCTTTGAATAATACAATTTAAATACTGTTTCTGAGATTAGCTACAACAGTGGTATCTTTAAGCAAATACCCTTTAATTCAAATTTCAAAAATGATCAGTATATGGCATTTAAGTTTTTTATTCTTCTGACATATCAGACTTCTAAATAAGCTACCAAGCACATGCTGACAACTTCCAACTTATGAGCTCTCCAACACCCTGAAAGGGACATTTTAGAGAGGAACACACTGTGTGTTTTCTGCCATAACACAGTACTGAATATGCTGCTGTTTGTTCCCTTGAAGGACTGTACTGTCTATGCCAGATTACAACTTAGCATTAAGGTTGCTCTCATATACCTGAAAACCCAGCAATTCCACACCAAAGGCACATGCCTCAGCCTATAGCAATGATCCTCAAAATAAGGTTTTTAGACTAGTATCACCATCCTCTCATGGGAATATATTAGACACTAAAATTCTTGGGACCCATCCTAAAACTACTAAATCAGAAATTCAATATGTGTTTTCACAAGTCCTCAAGTGATTCTGATACATGATAAATGGGTAAAATATAGTACTAACACAAATACTTTGTAATACAGAAGATGAATAAAAATATTCACTTAAACTTACAAGACTAATAAAACTAAAACAATATAGATCTGACCAATAACATAGGTCTATGATATATTTTATAGAAGGCAAACAAGGAAGATTGGTTAGCATATTATTTAAGAAGGAAAAACCTTGTATGACAAAGCAATAACACTATTTTTAAAACAGGGATATGATGTACCTTTTATTCTCTACAGTTTAGCTATGAGGAAGCAGGGGGATGGGTAAGGAAGCTGTTTCCAGGAACTACAACTATGCTGGCAACAATTTATCTTTTAAGTGGTAAAGTCAGAGGCTTTCCAATGCCATTTTTATTACTATATAATTCTACGTATATAAAATACTGCATAATACATTTTAAGTCTATCCATCAAAATAAAAATGCTGCTAATAATAATAGTCATTAATTTAAATGAGAAATGAAATTTCACCTAAATGTTAATGAATTATTAATTTGTGATATTATCATTCAGTTACAAGGAAATGATATAATCACAGTATGAAATTTTCAAAACAAATTTTAAGAATCATTTAAAAAATTTTAAAGACATAAAAAAAGCATGAATTAGTCAGATAATGTGGGTAAATTCACAATAAAAGGATTAGAAAAAAATAAAATGACATGTTATTAACTGAAAATACTATACAGAACCTCTTATCTTCTTTATACACTTAACATTTTTCTTCTGTGCATAATAAATTCAATTAGGATAATTATGGATTTTAAAGTGTTGCTAAAAAATAAGTAACTCTTAAATTATTAAAGAAAACTGTCAAATTAAAGAAATTCTGTCCAAAATGGGGAGGAAATTGCCATTTCATTTGGTTGTAATTTATAAGCTATATAATTCAAAGTTTGTGTTTTCTGTCATAATTATATGCATAATTATATGCATAACTGCATAGTTATAATTTCTCATTAAACAATTTCATTCACTTATAAGGGGAAAATCATCAGAGAAAGCCATAGTCTATTTAGAACTTCACTTAAAGAAGAAAACAACTTAGAATAAAACAAAAAGAATAAAACTGTAATATTATTTATCAATTGTTAACTGGCTTTTAGCAACACAGAAGAAAGAAAGAAAGAAAGAAAGAAAGGAAGGAAGGAAGGAAGGAAGGAAGGAAGAAAGTTAGAAAGCTGTATTTCCTGACATAATGAGAAAGCATCATAAAGATCCAGGGCCAGACAACAAAGACGTGTTACATACCTCTTTCTCCAATATTCTAGCAACCTCACCAAGGGTCCGATCCAAAGCAGAAGCCTTATTGTTTGCCCAGGAGCCGCTGTCTTGTACTTGAATTTGTTTTACAAGATCTTTGGCTAATCTTTGAAGCCTTGAATACAAAGTGAAAAACTGCATTAATTATGAATGTATGAATAATATCTATTTTTAGATCATAAACTCCATTTTCCTAAACATGTAAAACACAAGTTACTTTTAATATTCTATCTGAAATGTCTCCAGAGAGCAGCCAGGGGAGGCAAACAGACGAAACTGCAGCTCTTCCTCTGTAATATCACCCATTCACTTCTCATCTACTAAAATGACTAGCAGACGACATCAGCCTTGGCTGCAGTAATCGAAGCCGTTCTTTGTATATGATCCTCAAATTAGAAAAGAATTGGGAGTGGGAGAAAGTGACAGGATGATGGTCTGGGATACAAGGAAAGAACCTGAGAATGTTCCACATCCTGGTTCAAACCTTCCCATTAGGCTCAGATACATAAGCACTGCAAATTCCTACAACCCTGATCTCCCCATAGCCCACTTTATACGCAGCTTGGTATTATTTATTAGAACAAGAATATTTATTTGTTTTGTACCTTGGAATGCCACGCATTTTCTAGATTTTAGGGTTCCTCAGGGTGGGAGCTGAGGTTAACATCTCATGATAGCCCTCCTTTTGCTTTCCATTACTTCTTGGCCCATCTTTCTTTCCTGCTTATTTGTTTGAGCAATCAATGAGTCTCCACGTGGTCTCTTGGATATTCCCCAGTGCATTTTCCCTCTCTTGTCTGTCTTCAAACTTTACAATTATAGTAGATCCCACAAGACATAGTTACAATCAAATTCTTAAAAAATTATTAGATATTCCCTCGCTGTTTCATTTGTTACTTGTATTAGACAAGCCCCAGCAATCGTAATAATGTTTATTAAGCTTCTACCAAGGTCTAGTCAGTGTTCACAATTCCTTGAATACATTAATTTATTTAACCAATTCAATAAGAACACCTATGAGTCTTTTCCACTCATGACTCTCAGAAAAAGCCACATGATACTGAAGATTCACACTCTCACTGAATTTCTCAATCTGCTAGTTCCCTAGCCTCTGCATACTTGCTTTACATCATTCCACTGTCTTTAGAATGTAAGCTTTCTTTTCTCTCATTTGCTTTTATGAGTTTATATTTCAGAGAGGCTAGTAGAAGAAAAATAAGTCTCATCATTATCTCTACAAACCCATGTCAACTTGTTTCTCCTATTACAGCCTAAGAAGGCCCCCTCTTCCCCAGTAGAGCTCAATTCCTTTTCTGCCTGTCTTAGTGTCTTTGAAAATACTCTTCATTTCTTCCTGAAATGCTTTCTCCACTTTCAAATTACACAGAAAATTCCTTCTTACCTATTTTTAGCACAGAATTCACTTTCTATACTATGGATATTTCTTAATGTACTTATCACAAGCAAATTAAGTACTTAGCCAGCTGTATAAAATGTGCTTTTCCCATGAAAAGCTTTCTACAATGACATGCATGTTTACTTATATAACTCAACATGGTAACAGATAACTCCATGTGGTCATTGACCACATGAAATATAAGCACTGACCACTACATTTTATAGAATTTTAACAGTTTAGTGGTAACGTATATATGACAAGAAGCTACTGAATTAGGCAGTGCAGAAGCAGACGTAATTTATATCATATTGCTCAATTGTTATGTACCATTTGAGATATCAGAGAAGCTTGCTCTAAAAGTGAGGCAGTCCCCTCCAACTTCAGAGACAAGTATTTTTATGGCAAGTTTTCCCCTAAACCCTGGTCTGGGTCAGGTTGGCCCATGCCTCTGTAACAGAGAGGGGAAGACAAGAAGTACTAAAAATGCTGTGTCTTCAAGAACAGCTAGAAAGCAAGCAATTTCAAACAGAGGTGACGATATTTTTCTAATCAGGGTATAAAAATGCATACAGTGGAAGCATGAAGGCAGATTTGCAACCACAGGAAACTCATCCATGGAGAAAAGTTCCATCAAGAACTGCAAGTGACTTCTCAACTTCTTCAGGTTTCTTTCCTGGATGTTGTGAGCACCAGATTTGATGTTACTGTCCATCTGCTGCTATTTGTCCTTTTACCTGAAAGCCTCAACTATGGGGACAGCCCTGGAACTCTCTTACTAGGAACTCCAGTGGCTCCCTTAACAAGCCTTTTCCAGTTAATTTTTGCTAGACATTTGTAAGCACCCAGATTGATGATATAACCTTTTGCCTGCTCTCTCATCCGAGCTATTCACTTGTCTGTCTTGGATGGTTTGAACAGTCAATTTGACCATGCTCTGCTATATATCTGCAGCTTCTCTCTACTTTCTAGTCACTAGTTAGTATTTGTTTGCCATATACTTACTAAACTCGCTCATTTAAAATTGAAAGTATAGCTGTTGTAGATCATTCTTTGGACTGTACAGAACATAGAGTGTCAAGTTCATAAAAGAGGTTCTTTACCACCAAACACATCAGCGGTACAGAATTGTACTCATTATTTATTGAGTTTATTGTGATGACAAGATATTTCTTCTTTAATCTTAAAAATATCCATTAATTTTACAGGCTAAAAAAAAAAACAACTTCATGAGTGGATCTTCTTTTGTCATCTTAGTAACACTGCCTCTGAAAACTGAGGAAATTAAGGAAGGCTCAGGGAAGGATGATTTTCTCATGGCTAATCAGCCAGCAAAATGTATTACTGGGACTCAAACATTTTCTCTCCAACTCCTATGCCACATTAGTCAACTCAAACAGGGAAGACTGGTTCACAGATGAGTAATTCCATAGACTGCAACTTTACTTAAAATTTATTCATGTAAAGTTTAAAAATTTGTCAAAGAATACAACAGTAACTGCAACTCAAAAAGTAGCAGTGAACTGTAGTTTAAGTTTTATCTATCTATATGAAGTTTACTTCATTAAGTCAAAGAAAGGATATAAACTCTAAAAACCAAAGTACATACGATTGAAATTTGGAGCCAGCACATATCAACATATTATATGGATTACCTCTAGGGATGCTATCTAACTTTTCTATATTATGGTTTCTTTATCTTAAAATCCCCCCCCTCTCGTCTGTCTTCTTCCCCCTTCTCCCTTCTTGCTCATTCTGCCTCCCCAGTGCCTTTTAATATCAGAGATTGCATCTAATACCATATACCATAACAGACAATGGATAAACTATTGTTTTAATCAACTATCATTATTAAAATGTAACAAGAGTTCTAGACCCAACAAAAGGAAAGAGGAATACAAAATATAAAAGAATGCCAGCATCATTTCTCTTCTAATAAAGTATGAAAGAGACTCCCATCTACCACTAGCTACTAATCCTACCACGTAGAAGAGCACTAGCAGCAAACTTCACTGTGCAATGCATAAGTAGCTGCTTTGACTTTTGGTTGAATAAAGTCTGCACAGTATGTAACTGAATATCCAGCCATGTAACAGAAGCTGGCAATATTCTTACCAAGAATGATTACATTCCATTAGAAACCAGAAGTACTTAGGGTAGTACAAGGACCATTTTACTCCACAGAATGAAAGGAGATTATATTTCACTGAGTTAAATCAGCCTGAGGTTCATATGAACCTACCTTCAAGGAAGAAAGCCCAATCAAGGGGGTACTTTAGTAACATGAGCTAATAAACCCCAGTATCATTCCCTGCCACCAGTCAAGCACCACAGACAATATATAGCCCCTTTCAAGAAAAACATCAGATTTTGATGGTTATTACCAATAATTATAGAGCAATGCAAAAATCAAGCTGAAATCTGTATCTAAGGACAAGAGCAGCTTAGAGAATGCAGCTTTTAACAAAAAATTGTTATTGGGGTTACTTTTGGCAGGTAATTTTTTAAAGCAAAAAGTAAAAGTGGAGATAGTAATTCCTTGCTTAATGCATGAGCAGTACCTGTCACATAAATAGCTTTGTGAAGAATGTTAACAGATGAACATTTTATTCTTAAAATATGAATAAATTCCTACAACTCTATGCTCAAATTTGTCACTGACATGTAAATACAGAAAATATCTAGGGAATTATATCATTTTGGATACTTAAAAATACATATAAGTATATATTATATAATATACATTGAAGTTATACTTCTTGGGGTGACACCCTCCCCCCATGGAACTATCTAAAAAGCTCCAGTGACAGGTATGGGAAACCTCCTTTTGAGTTATTGGTCAGAAGAGTACAAGAGACTCTTCCAAGACAATGTAGGCTGTTGCTACTGCCATTGGTGCTTTCCAGAAAAAATATTGCTGAAGATACCATAAGCTTTGGATACTGTGGATGATCAATCTGGCTATAATCTTGGAGCCTCTTTCCTAAGGATTAGTTCTCATAGTATCAGAAGGAGCAATGCAAACTGCCAAGAGAAGAAAGCATTCAGCACTCCTATCCCAATGAACAACTATGAACCAAGCAATGACCAGAATGTCAAGGTAGTCTAAACAGTGCAAAATAGTAGCACTTACATCCTGGAGGAAACCAACAGCCACTTATAACTAAATTCTAGATCTGCTCAATAGGAGGTAATTCATACCTGGTACTGTAAATTTAGAGAACTACCCATGGCTGGCAAGGCTAGAACCTAAAGGAGACCCTACTATTGTCACTTTCCTAAACTAGTATAACCTCAGACTGTGTTCTAAGTATCCTTATACCCACTATTAACTGCAGCTCTAACCTCATTTTGCTGCTGGTATCTTATTATGGAAAAACTATACCATCTTCTGTTTTTAAAGAACTGTGCAAAACACACACTTAGATGAGTATGCTGGATATACCTACTAAGCATCTCCTCAATGGGAGGAGCTAGGGAATATATACATACCATTTCATGTATATACATCTCTGTTTATTCATATATATTAGAAAACACACAGTTTTCCAGTCTCATTCACTACTAGAGAGTTAAGCTATGCGACCTTGCTATATTAGCTGTTCTCGTTAGTAGTTAACAATCTATCTTTTACCACACTTAATATAGTTACATATTTAGCCTTTTATCTTCCAAAACATATTGTCTACATTACTGTATATATGCCATTGTCCACACTT